GCACCTACGCGGCGTGCAAGGCAAGGCGGAGCGCGGAACGCGGGCTGACGACGCTGCAGCGAGGTTGCCAAGTTGCGCCGAGGCGGACCTGGCCCAAAGTAAATCCACCGCCAGCGGGAAGCGCAGCACGCGGGGCGACCCCAGCACCGCCCGACCCCTGCAGCACTGGAGGCACGAGGTGACTAAGGCCTACAGCAAGACACAGGATGGGGCATGCCAAAATGGCTGGCCCCTTAGCTGAAGCCCCGAGGGCAGAGCGAGCCCGCGGCGCGAAACCAGCAGCATGCGGGGCGGCCCCAGCACCACTGAGAAGCGCGGAAGCACGCGAGGGGGGCACGGGCAGAGCCTCAGCGGGCCGCGAGCTGGTGGGCCAAAATGGCTACTGAAGTTGACGCGGCGCCGAGGCGGTGCGCAGAATCTAAGCAGGCGGGCAGCTACTCACTCATAGAAGGGCTCGAGGCCTCAGAGCCACTCGGTCTCCCCCGGGAGGGCCTGGGACGGGAGCGCGCGGACCTCCCCGCCCCACTCGCTGCCCTCCACCACGGGGCCGCGCGGCCCGGACTCAATGTCCGGCGGGGAGCCCGCAGACGGCGGCGGCGGCACCTCCACGCTGGTCAGCGCCGCAGGCGTAGGCGGAGACGGCGGGCGCCCCTCACTCGCGCCGGCGACAGCGACCTCCGCGGCAGCCATCGCCAGGTCCGCCCTAGGCCTGCCCGCGGAGGGGGCGCCCGGGGCGGCCCCGGCGCCCCCCCCCGCCAACAAGGCTGCCGACGGCCAGGTCGCGGCGCCGCTCGTAGTTCAGCACGGCGACCTTGGCCTGCGCGATCCTCTCGCGCTTGAGCTTGTCCTTGGTCTTCTTGCCGTGGCCCGCTCACTCGGGGTCGCTCAGTCCCCGCGCCACCCGCGCGCAGAGGCCACACCAGTTGAACGCGGGCAGGTCGCCCCACGCGAGGTCGCCCGCCAGCGCCCAGCGCGGCCCCCCGGGCGCGCACCGCTTGAACACCGCACCGAGCGCCAGGGGCTTCACCTTTGGGCAGGTACTGCAGGAGGTCCGCGGGGCTAAACACCTCCGCTGGCAGCGCGCGCAGGCGCGCACCATGGGCCAGGCCATTGATACGCCATGCTTTGGCTTGCGCGCCCGGTGGCGACATTGCGGGGCGGACGCCACCCAATGCCCGGGTGCTCTTCCAAGCGAATCCTTCACAGGGCCGCTGGCGCGGGCGGCCCCGGGCTCTGCCGCGCGACTTCGCCCCCACAGTCGGATGGCAAACGTGCACCGCGCAAGGCAGACGAGACGCTCTTCCGCAACATTGACAGGCGGATGTCGCTTCATGCGACGGGCCCCGCCTGGTCTGATGTAATGTCGTTTCGGCTTCCATACTTGTGCCACTTTTGTTATACGTGTGCCACTTTTGTTGGATGTCCGAGCGATCCCTTCTCGTCTATTAGCGCGCCGCCCTGCGAGTCCCGTGGGACGCCTGAGACTTGTGCCCCTGTGGGACATGTGCGACTTGCGGGGCCTGCGAGACATGCGGGGCCTGGGCGACTTGCGGGGTCGGTGGCTCTTGTGGGACCTGTGCGACCTGCGAGACTTGTGGGAGCTGTGGAACCTGCAGGACCTGTGAGGCCTGTGCGAAAGGTCGGCCTTGTTAGGACCTGCGAGACCTGCGGGGCCTGTGGGGATTGTGGGGGCCGTGGGGCCTGTGGGACCTGTGGGACCTTTGGGACCTGTGGGGCCTGCGAGACCTTTGGGACCTGCGATACCTTTTGAGATTGCGACACCTGTGCGACTCGGGAAGCCTGGGGGACCTGCGGGGCGGACGAAACCAATGGGACCTGCGGGGCGTTGCCCAACAGACCGCGTTGACGATCCGGCGGGAGGCGGGTTATATTATGTAAATTCACACACGGATGCAGTTTAGGTTGCCTGGAATCCCGAATTAACGATCGGGCGGGTGCGGGTTTAGTGTGTAAAAATTTATACACGTAGCGCACTTCGCGAAGAAGGCGCGCCCCGGCGCGCCCACTTTACGAGTTGGTTTTTCCGCGTTTGGCGCGAAGAACAAATAGATTCAAACATTTCCACTTTACGGTGGATGCCCCCCGTCTCATTTGTTCACACACGAAACTCGGAAGAAACAACTCGCAAACTGGGGACGCCAGGGCACGCCACCTTACAAGAAGTGCGCTCTGTGCATGGATTTACACACTAAACCCGCACCCGCCCGATCGTTCAGTGGGATTGCCAGGCAACCTAAACTGCATCCTGCGTGTGAATTTACATGATAGAACCCGCTCCCCGCCGGATCCTCGACACGGTTTGTTGGACAACGCCCCACAGGCCCCACTGGTGTCGTCAGCCCCACAGGTCCCCCAGGCTTCACAAGTCGCACAACTCTCACAGGCCCCGCAGGTCTCGCAGGTCCCACAGGTCTCGCAGGTCCCTGAACGATTGGAAGACACCAGAACAGGTTCGACATCCACACAGCTGGGAAAAAGTTATAGCAAAATCAGCAAGACGATCGTCTTGAATGATCTGCAGACGGCAACGCCCAAAGAGGATCATTAAGTGACGTTCGTCGTTCAATGTTGGCAGCGTGTGCAGGCGTGCACCATGGGCCAAAACATTGATATGCCATACTTTGGCTTGCGCGCCCGGTGGCGACATTGGGAGGCGGACGCCACTTAATGCCCAGGTGCTCTTCCAAGCAAATCCTTCACAGGGCCGCTGGCGTGGGCGGCTCCACGTTCTGCCGTGCGACTTCGTTCCCACAGTAGGATGGCTAACGTGCACCGCGCAATTCAGACGCGACGCTTTTCCGTAACATTGACAGGCGGACGTCGCTTCATGCGACGGGCCCCGCCTGGTCTGATGTTACATCGTTTCGGCTTCCATTATTGTGCCACTGGTGTTACAAACTCTATTCAAGGGGATGTATTACTATTACTTGTATCATTAGTCTGAGCGTTTTTTAACTCGTGATTTCAACATTAGTCTGCAATTATTACTGCTCGAATTGATATTATCCTTATTAATGTTCCTCCACCTCATCCTCTCCATCCTCCTTATTCTTAATAATAGTATTGTGTTTCGTAGTTATCGTGGTCTTGCTTGTCTTAATTTTCTTGTTATTACTAGTTTTCCTCCTCCTCCTCCTCATTCGCCTCCTCCTCCTCCTCATTCTCCACCTCCGCCTCCGCCTCCGCCTCCGCCTCCGCCTCCGCCTCCGCCTGCTCCTCCTCCTCCTCCTTGTTCTCCTCCTTCTCCTCCTCCTCCACCTCCTCCGCCTCCTCCTCTTCCTCCGCCTCCTCCTCCTCATCATCATCATCCTCCTCCTCATCCTCCGCCTCCGCCTCCGCCTCCTCATCCTCCTCCTCCTCATCCGCCTCCTACTCCTCCGCCTCCTCCTCGGCCTTCTCCTCCTCCTCCTCCTCCTCCTCCTCCTCCTCCTCCTCTTCCTCCTCCTCCTCCTCCCTGGGGCTCTGGCGCACCGGGCTCTGGTAATCAGATTAGGGAGGGGGCTGGGTGCGCAACAGCTGCGGTCGGACCTGGGACGGAGAAACATCCCTCAAGAGCATGAGACCTTCCGCCAGCCAACACATACAGAACATCCAAGGAGGGCCCTCCCTGGTCGGATGTTGCTAGAAGTGCCCATGGCCCAAGGTGTCCCCAGGATTTCAAAGGAGGCCCCCACGGCCTCCAGAGCACCCCTCACGAGGCCCAGAGGCCTGAGGGGCTCCAAAGTGCAGCGAACAGTTGGGGGTACCTTGGGCTGGGGGCGCCCTAAGCACCCCCCCCCGTCTGGATGCGCAAGGCCATCCAACAGACACGATCAACATCAGGGTACCCTCCCAGAACCGGTCTCGATCTTGTACCTCGGCTCGACTATATCGCTCGAAGGATGGAAGACGGTGTCGTTCAAAACTGCGCAAGACTGCGCCTCCGCCCAAATTGCGGGCCCAATGGGGCGCTCGACTCTCAAGGGGGGGACCGATTCGGGCAGTGGAAGAGAATGCCCATAGGGCCTAATGCGGAGGAAGCTTCGGACAGGAGGGTGTGTTGATGATACATCTTAGCTCTGCCCTGGTCGCTCCTCCTCCTCCCCCTCTTCCTCCTCCTGCGACTGGTCATGCTTACTCCTCCTCCTCCTCATCCTTCTCCTCCTCCTCCTCCTCCTCCCCCTCCTCCTCCTACTCATCCTCTTCCTCATGGTTTCTCCTTCCCCACAATTTCTACGTGTATTATTCATCATGTTCCCTCGTCCTCCTCCTTCTCGTCCGCCTCCTTCAGGGACAGGAGGGAGAAATGAACTGGTGCGTGCGTGCATGGAACGGCTCTTACCTATACCGCTCGGCAGGCGGGGTCTCTTCTCTTGACGCCCATGTATCGCCTCTTGCTGGCAGTTGCCTGCACCGCTGCACCCGCGCCATCGCGGCGCCATTACACATTTGAACAATATTTTGCCTCACTGGCTGAGCATATGGTATGCTTAAATCCTGTCCTGCCTGCGCAAGCGGGAATACTCGAAATGACCGACACACACAACACGGATGTTCCGGGGAGACGCATCGTTCAAAACACACGACAAGGCCTGAGACGGAGCAAGAGCAGAGATGACGTCACAGACATGATCGACTGCTATGGTATAAGAAAATCCCAATTCCTGAAGGGCAGCGAGGCTCTGGCGCTTTCGGAGAACCCGTGACTGAACACCCGAAGTGTTTACATCTTGTGCCGTCCTCCCAGGAGCCAGAGAAGGGGGACCCTCAGACGAGAAACACTTCGACGTCGGCACATTCCACGAGCGCTGAAGCCTCCAGAAATCCAGGAAGCACTACGAAGCTCCAGGATGCTTCAGGAGGCTACAGGTAGCCCTGGGAGACTCCAGGAGGCGCAAAGAATCTCAAGGAAAGAAAGGAGGAGGGCGATGCAACGAGTAAGGCATGTGCCAGTAAGAAAGAGCGCAAATAACACTAGGAGAGCCCAGGCTGCGGAGGACCCAGTCTGCTTCTTTGCGAACGGCCTCGGCAATCATAGGCAAGGAGCCAGCGGAGAACACTCGGAAATGATCTAGTCTAGCTCCATCGGACTCTCCTCCGCATCCTCGTCCTCGTCCTTCCTCCTTTCGTCCTCCTCCTCCTCCAACCTGCATCAAATCATCAATCCGCCACCGTGTCCCCTGACACGTTGAGGCATGGTATAATGACAAGGGCTGCCAAGTATATTTTCTTACATATTCTAGCAGACCCCCCTCCTCTCCCTCCAGACTGCCGCATGCATCGCCCCTCATCCCGAGGCCACGATCCCTCTTGGAAAATCATGGATCCGCGTTATCGAGGCCACGATCTCTTGTAAAAAATGGTGGATCTGCGCTACCGAGCTTCCCAAACGGCCGCGGCAGGCAACCAAGACCCCAAGACGGCCTAAGATGCTTCCAAGAAGCCCACGATGATCCCAAGACGGCCCAAGATGACCTGAAGACAGCCTAAGAAGCCCCAAAGACGTCCCAAGAGGGCAACCAACTGACAAAAAACTAGCCTGGCGAAGAACCCAACCCTTTAAGGGGCGGACACACACAGGACGATCTCAATGCACAAGCACACTTCCAAGGATTTACTGCACCGGCGACGAGAGTTGTTGCCTCAAGTCCGTGGGTGTCTGGCATGGAACGGGGAACGCACCCACTGAGGCCCTCGGTGGAGCTCCCTGTGGGGCCACGAAACGTGTGAGGAGTGTGCCGAAATGGGCGGGGCGACGCCATGCGAACGCACCCACTGGGGCCCTCGGTGGAGCTCTAATGGGGCCACGAAACGTGTGAGCGGTGTGCCGAGATGGGCGGGTCGGCGCCATGCGAACGTACCCACTGGGTACCTCGGTGGGCCTCCCTGGAAGGCAAGAAACGTATAAGGAGTGTGCCGAAATGGGCGGGGCGACGCCATGCGAACGCACCCACTGAAGCCCTCAGTGGAGCTCCCTGGGGGCTACGACGCGGGAAAGGGGTGCGCCAAAATGGGCGCGACGCCGCAAGGCGAACGCACCCGCTGGAGCCCTCGTTGGAGCTCACTGGGAGGCAGGAAACGTGTGAAGGGTACACAGAAATTGGCGCGGCGCCGCCATGCGGACGCACCCACTGGGGCAATCGGTGTAACTCCCTGGTAGGCAGGAAAAGTGTGTGGTGTGTAACCGCATGGGCCAGGGCAGGAAGAGAAGGAAGAGGAGGGGGAGCAGGGAAGGAGGGAGGAGGGAGAAGGAGGAGGAGGAGGAGGAGAGAGGAGGAGGAGGAGGAGGAGGAGGAGGAGGAGGAGGAGGAGGAGGAGGAGGAGGAGGAGACGCGCGGCGCTGCGAATTCAAAACGAGGATCCAACACACAGGAGGGTTGGGAAAAACTGGTAGGGCCCCAAGAGGCCAATCGGTCTTTCCATGATTTGGGCGTCTCCGCGTTCTCCGAACTTCCTTCAGCTCCAGACTACCCTGGAGGTCCTCAAGATGGTCCCCAGGAGGGCCCAGGGAGGCCAAAACGGCCCAGGAATCTTCTTAAGACTGCCTCAAAGCAACCCGAGAGGGCCCCATAGACGGTTCCACCGAGAACCCAAGCTGGCCCAAGAGGGCCTCCGCAGAGGGACCTAAGACTACTTTCGACGGCTTCTCGACGGCCCAAGACTGCCTCCTCCTCCTCCCCCTCCTCCCCCTCCTCGTCTTCCTCCTCCTCCTCCTCCTCCTCCTCCTCCCCCTCCTCCCTTTCCTCCTTCCTCCTCCTCCTCCTTCCTCCTCCTCCTTCTCCCCCTTCTCCCCCCCCCCCACCCTCCTCCTCCCAGACAGCCGAAAGGACCCTGAGACGGCCCAGAAAAACTCCAAGACGGCTCAAGAAGGCCCCAAGAGGGCGCAACAGGGCCCCGAAGGACCCTCATAACTGCCCCACAGGAGCCCAAGGACGGACGAAAGGGAGGAAGACAACGAATACGAGAAGAGAACCCCAACACGACGCGGAGGAGTGCGTCACATGTCTAAACAGCATCGGGACAGGAGGGGTCGCACGTTACAGTTCCGTGCGCGTTCCCCGAACGGTCGCCACCCAAGGTGCTGGGCTGGCACGGCGGCGGGACTTGCCACAGGCATCTGGATACAAGTATTGCATATCAGCAATGCTCGCCCTTGACCAGACGTGTCCCTGTCGTATCGTCGAGGTCGCTGGCCCACAGTGTCATGCAAATCTAGCAAGCATGCACTCTGCCGAATAAGTAATTCGAGGTCATAATGATACCACGAAACTCACAAATAGCGCACACGAGGCATAACATCATTCTTGCGGCGGCGGCCAACTGACAGCTACAACCCTAGTTATTGGCCTGTTGAAACATCGATCAATGGTACATCCGTGTCGCAAAAGGTACCGACGGGCCTCCTCAATCTGATGTTTGGAGAAGTTCATCCCCATCTCACCAAGATCCTCAAATGAGCACAGAATTCATGAGCAGCTGGAACCCTCCCCAGAAACAAAGCCGAATGTGGACCCTAGATATCCGCGCACACACACACACACACACACACACACACACGCCCCCACACACACACACACACACACACACACACACACACACACACACACACACACACACGCACACACACACACACACGCACACGCACACGCACACGCACACGCACACACACGCACGCGCAAACAAACAAACAAACACACGGTACGACTATATATATATATGTATATATTTATATGCATACAATTATAGAATTATGTATATATATGTGTGTACATATGTACATATATACATATATACACCCGTACATACATATGAACACATGTATACATAAATAATTAGATGACATATTATCTATGCATATACACATATATATATATACATAAATACATATATATTTGTATATGTATAAACATATATAAATATGTGTGCAATTCTACATAAATACAGATATACAAATATGTACACAGAAATGCATGTACATAACCATATGCATATGCATATGCGTATGCATATACGTATACATACGCAAATGAATACACATCAAAAATCTACATATGTCTATACATATACTTATGAATATACGTATACACATACATATACACATACACATACATATACATATACATATACCTATACATATACATATGCATGCGCATGTGCATATACATATACATAGGAATGGACATGCACATGTACATGTACATGTACATATACATATGCATGTACATGCACAGAGATGTATGCCTGTATATATATAGATACGAATACATATCAAAACACCCATAGATACATATATGCATGTACAAATACATGTACATATACATATGCATGTACATGTACAACTGCATATATATATATATCTAATCATAGTCAAAAACTGTACATATATATGTACATATATAAAAATGTATATATATATATACATATATATATATATATATATATATATATATATATGTGTGTGTGCGTAGATGTTCATTTGTATATATATATATACACACTCACGTCGCAGCGCGGCAAGGAGCCAGTCTACACGCGCGCCCGGCAGGCCTGGAGACGGCCTTGCAAATTAGCGTTGCTGCCATGGGAAGGAGAGAAAAAACGGCCGCGGGAGAGGGAGGAGGACCTTGCACGAGGCGACAGGGCCTTGCGCGAAGCGACACAGAGTAGAAAGGTCAGAGAAGCGGGCGCGCACGCGCGTCTACAGGCCGAGCCTTCAAGCCGCTTGGAACAAGTCACACACACACACACGCATTGTTCTGGTCGTCGCGGCCCTGCCGCACCGCCGCGGCGTCGAAGCGAAATCGCCGGCGAAGGGCGAGCCCGCGCCAAAACAGAGACAAAGGTGGCCCCAACGGGCAGCGGCAGCTAGGGCGACGGCGGGCCGAAGGGAAGCGCCAGGGGGCGGGCGGGGCAGCGGGGGCAGGCGCCGGGCGCGCCAGCAGACCGCGGAGCAGCGGGGAGCGAGGCCGCGCCAGACTTAGGCGGGCAGGGATGGCCGAGGCCAATGCGAGGCGGGAGGCACGCGGCGCTCGGCGGCAGAGGGGCGGGGAGCGAGAGCGCCAGCGAGGGCAGGCGGGCGGCAGGCCGAGCAGCCGGGGGGCCGGAAAAGCCGCAAGGCGGGGCAGGGCGGAGGGCGCGGTAGGCGCAGCGGAGCGAGGGGCGGGGCGAAGGGGTCCAGGCCAATAAGACCAGCCTGTGGCGGCGACCCGACCAGCGGGCAGGAAGCCAGCGGGCCGGGGCCAGGGCGGGGGAAGGGGCCGCCACTAGCTGGGGCAAGGCCGTCTGGCAGCGCCATCGACAGCCACCTCCACGACGGCGAGCGGCGCGGCCAAGCAGACCGAAGACGCAGCGCGCGCGGACTCGACGCGCCCCGACGGCCCACCCTGGGGGCGGAACCAGCAACGCGACGACGGAAAAGGCAACCAACAGACATCCCAGGCGGGGGCTGCACGGCCGGGCCACGGACTGGCGGCCCGCGCGAGGCCGGGAGCGGAGGGGGCGGAGCGACTCCGCGCCCAGAAATTAGAGCACCGCCTGGGAGAAGCACCCGGTCGGCGCGGCCGGGCGATCACCGCCGAGGGCACCCAGAGACCAACGAGGCAAAGGCGGCGCAGCCCGGTCGGCTGCAGGGGGCGAGCCAGAGAGGCACGCCGCAGAAGAACAAGGGACGCGCGAGTGCCGACCCGCAGACTAGCGATCACCGCCGAGGGCGTTCACAAGAGATCGGGCCGACTGGGGCGAGAGAAACGGGACGGAGCGAACCCGCGCCCAGAAGCAGGCGGGGCGGTCGCAGTCCGGGCAAGAAGCTGGGCACCGCCGGGGCAAGGAGCCAGCGCGCCGTGGGAGGGGCACCCCGGCGCGCGGGGGAGGGCGGCCGTTGCCTGCAGCGAAGGCCCAAGACCAGCGACCAGCGCCAGGGGCGGGCAGATCCGCGGCCGAGGCAAAGCGGAAACCGGAGGGGGCGGGGGGCGGGGCGGAGGCCAAGGGAAGAAGCGCGGCGCCGGACCACGCAAGGCCATGCCCGGCGATCGCCGCTGACGGCCATCCCAGGAGACCCAGCCGGGCGGGCGTCAGCGGCGCGGAACCACTTGATCCCGTCGGCCTGCCCCGCCCCGCGCGGCCGTTGGGCGGAGGGCCATTGGCGATTCCGAACCTCAGGGCGGAGCTGGAGCGCACCAGGTCGTCGCCGCCAGCGGAGGCGGCGCGCTCCAAGGGCGCGCACATGCAACAGCGTCGGCCCGCGCCAGCGGGCCAGCATTCAAGGCCGGCGGGCCCCCTCACCCAGAACAGCCAAGATTAGTCTCCCCGCGCGGCAAGGGCGGCTCGACCCCCGCCGCAATCGACGAATCGCGGGCGGCCAAGCCCGGCTGCGCCGGGCTGACCGGCGGCGCGCGCGCTGGCGGCTGACGGGCTGCCGCACCCAGCGCGGGTCGCGCCCGTCGCGCTGCTGGGGCAAGCTGGCCCCCGCCGCAGCCCCGATGCTCTCGCAACACGTCTAGAGCAAGCTGGCGCCGCCAGCGGCCTCCCGAAGCACGACTAGGGGGCCGCCGCATGCATCGGCAGGGGGCACCACACGCTGGACCCCGGCCAGGCGCGCGCCACAAACGCTGCAGACCCCCCACCGCTCGAAGCCGGGCGGTGGCCGCAGGTCGCAAACGCAAAACCCGAACCCGCCGCAGCGGCAGCGGACGCCCGCAAGTGGACGGAGACCCAGGGGCAGGCACTCCGCCCCTGACCCCCAAGGCGACGAGGCCGAAGGCTGATGGCATGGCGCGGGAGTGCGCGGGACTGGCGTCAAATGGCGGATTGGCCCGTCGACGCGCGCGGCATCGGGGCACGGGCGCTCGCAGCTGAGGCAAGCGCCGAGCCCGCGCGGCAGCGCGTGCTCTGGAGCGAACCGCAAGGCGCAGCGTTCAAGGCACTTGCGGACGACGCGCAGCCCGCGGCCAGCGCGGGGGCGCCCGCCGCGGCGCGGGCGGGGGCCAGCAGGGGAGCGGCGGAAAGAGGGACGGACTTCGACCCCTAGCCGCATGGCGCGCGACGGCTGCACGCGCGGACCGCGCCGCACCGGTCCTCGAGGTCGACGGACAGCGCCGAATCCGAGGTCATCTCTGCCCCGCTCTGGTTCGCGGCCTCGAACTCGCCGACGAGGGCAGCCAAGGTCACCGCCCAGCCTGAAACAGAGGACGAACTTCTGCGCGGCCGCCAACGGGCGGGAGGCGCCGCGCCCAAAGAGTTGCGCGCTGGGCCATCCGCAGCAGCGGCAGCCGCGCAGAGCGGGACCCGCGATGGCCAGCGCGAGGCTGGAGACTGGGCAGCCGGAGCGAGCAAGTCGCGCGCGGGCGCCGCAATCGACGCGGGCCCGGGCGGTCGCTAAGCAGCACACTGGCCGGCATTGCGGGCAAGGGCGCAAGGGGGCGGGGCGCGCGAGGCGACCGCGCGCGCGTCACCACGGGCCCACTGCGAACGCGGTCTGCCACGGCGGCTCGCGAAAGGGCGGGAAAGAGCGGCGCGGGATTGCGCCCGAGCTGCGGACCAGCGCGGAGCACAGCTGCAGCGACCGATCCGTGGAGAACTTGGGGCGGGCCGATTCGATCCAGCGCCGCGCCGGGCCAGGGCGGGCCACGCCCTTGCCCCGCGACCGCCGCGCCCCCGGGGCAGACGGGGGAGGCGCGCCCAGCGCCTGCACCAAAGCCAAAAACGTCGACGCCCCTCGTGAGGCACCAGCTCAAGAAGGTGTCGAAGTCGCCTGCGCAGCGAAGCCTGGTGCCCGAGCCGCATGTCATGGCCGACCGAGTGACTCGCTGCTTCTCAGAAAGCGGCCCAGTCCTTGGCCTGGCCCAGTAGCCAGCCTCGATGGGTCCAACACGGTGGGGCGCCTCGCCCGGGGACCGTCGCGGCTGGGGGGCCAGGCAAGCCGCTGGCCTCGCGAGGAAGGCCGCCACGGCACTCGGCAAGTGCTTCTGGGGGGCGCGGGAGCTGACTCCGGAGCCAGCAACGAGGGCGCGCCCTCTCTGGGGCCAGGGCCGCCCAGCTGCCGGCACGCGACGGCCGCGCGTTCGCAAGTGTCCGAGCTGAGCACGGAGAGCGGGATGTCCCGCCCGGCCGCCGTCGCAGCGCTAATTCTTGGTGCGCACGGCAAGCATGCATTTGATACGGCCGCCCTTGGCTGGGCCGCTGGGAGCAGAGGGCAGGGGGGCTGCACCTGGGCAGGGCTGGTCAGGCTGTCGGGGCAAGCGCCATGGCGGCGCGCCCCGGGCCAGGGGGGGGCCGTCGGCGGAGCGCCGGGCCGCGGGGCGGCCGCAGGGGCCACGAGACGCGCCCGGGCCGCAAGAGGCTGGATCGGGCTTGGCGCCACGACCAAAACCCGTGCCGTCGCTTGGACCGCCACTGCCAGATCAACGCCAGCCCGGGCGGCCACCCGCGCGGCGGCGCCCACCTCGGAAAA